TTATTGTGTTAAGGGTTTATGGTTTTTAAGGGTTTATTGTTTCTAAGGGTTTATTGTTTTTGAGGGTTTAGTGTTTATGAGGGTTTAGGGTTTACGAGGGTTTAGGGTTTACGAGGGTTTATGTTTTTTTTTTTTGCGTACAAGTTTCTGTTTTTGAATTCTTTAGCAGCAACTCTGTAGCTGCTGCATGCAACAGCAAAGCGATGCAGCAGCAGCAAGCTGCTGCAGCTCAAAAAAAAAGTTTTTGTGGGAGACAAAATAAATTTATATTTCTGCTGCAGCAGCTGCGATTGCTCCTTTACATCTAACTCACGCCACGAACCAGGCAGCAACCTGCAGCAGCAGCAGCAGCAGCAGCAGCGGCAGCAGCAGCAGCAGGGGGAGCAGCAGCAATATTAGCAGGAGGGGGAGCAGTAGCAGCAGCAGCAGCAGCAGCAGCAGGAGGGGGAGCAGAAGCAGCAGCAGCAGCAGGACGGGGGGTAGTAGTAGCAGCAGCAGCAGCAGCAGGACGAATAGGCATAAGAAAAGGAGCAGCAGCAACGACAGCAGCAGAAGCAACAGCAGCAGCAGCAGCAGCAGCAGCAGCAACAGCAGCAACAGCAGCAGCAGGAGTAGGATATTCAAAATATTTATCTAGGTGAAGCATTATAGGCAATTCGTGCTGCTGCTGTCGGTGCTGCTGTTGCTGCTGCTCTTGCTGCTGCTGTCGCTGCTGCTGCTGCTGCTACCACCACTACTATACTGCTGCTGCTGCTGCTGCTGTTGCTGCTGCTGCTTCTGCTGCTGCTGCTGCTGCTGCTGTCACTGTTCCTCCTACTACTCCTCCTGCTACTGCTGCTACTGCTACTGCTGCTGCTGCTGCTGCTGCTGCTGCGACTCCTATTACTACTACTACCACTAGTCCTACTCCTACTACTACAACTCCTGCTGCTGCTGCTGCTGCAGCTGCTGCTGCTGCTGCTGCTGCTGCTGCAGCAGCAGCTTACTTGGGGAAGGTTTGTACCGCAAGATTGAGGAGCTGGCCTTCTGAGGGCCCCCCAGAGCGGAGACGAATAACTGCTGCTTGCTGCTGCTTTGCTGCTAGCCGCCGCAGCAGCTGCTGCAGTATTAAACCCCCGAGAGCTGCCTGCAGCAGCAGCAGCAGCAGCAGCAGCAGCAGCAACAGCAGCAGCAGCAGCAGCAGCAGAAGCAGCAGAAGGAGGAGGAGAAGAGAAGGAGCAGACAGGAAACGAAATAAATCCATGAGGGTATGTATCAAACAGCAGCAGAAGCAGCCGCAGCAGCAGCAGCAGCAGCAACAGCAGCAGCAGCAGCAGCAACAGCAGCAGCATGTACAGCATCAGCAGCACCAGCAGCATATAGAGCAGCATCAACCTGTTCCGCTCGTTTCATCAACCCCCTAAACCCTTCTAAACCCTAAACCCTTGTAAACCCTAAACCCTTCTAAACCCTAAACCCTTCTAAACCCTTGTAAACCCTAAACCCTTG